CTTTCATATAATCAGATCTATCAAATAAATGACCACCTCCCTCAAATGACTTTCTGTCATGTTCAACTGGATATTGTTTGTGCAAATAATTTTTTTGCACAATTTGAAGATATTCCTCTATTACTTTCTAGGTTCTGGTGTTGCATTGACAAACGCAGTGCCTTTTTGATGTCTGATTCTTTGCACGTGCCCTGGGGTTTGGGTTTATTTGGTTTTTTGGTTTGGCTTAGTTTGGTTTTTTTGTTTGGTATATGTGTGTGTGTGTGTGTGTGCGTTCTGTTTGCTTGTTTTTTCCTTTCTGTCTCGAAGTTTTCAGGATTGTTGTCCTCGTTGCCCTAAAATTTCAAGAGAAACTGCCTTGATTTGAGTTTTTATAGCATTCATTTTGCTTGCTTGGCAGTGTTAGGCTCACTTCCTCTGTCTCCAGCTGTTCCCCTCATGGGGATTTAGGCATCTCTTGGCCATAGTGAGTCTGTATTAGCCTCAGACTGGAGGCCCTGTTAGGGCTCACCCTAGACCATATGACTCCCCCATGGACCCCCAGATCAGGATTCCACACTCGCTTGGCAACCAGGCTACTTCTCAGGCTCACACTTTCACACACTCTCACACAGCACAGTACTTCCATCCCACTCTCTGAACCAGAAAGACACAGTTTCACCCCAAAAAGGGGGTTATTTGGTATCTTTGGGAGTTGATCAGACTCCCCTTCTGCCTCCTGAGGCAGGCCTGAATTCAAACCAGGGTTCTTACCAGTCTGATGACCTGGGCTCCCAGGTTGGTTCCTGTGCCTTTCCAGGTTCCTTTGTGCAACCAGAACTCGCCTCCTCAGCTTGTCTGGAGAGAGGCTCCCTCCCCTCGGATCAACACAGTCAGGTGGTACCTGCCAGGGGCAGCCCTCCTGGCAGGCCAGGGATGCTGAACCAGTGACAAGGAGGTGAAAACACTGCCCTCTGCATCCCCGGCAAGTGCCCCAGAAATGTTGCAGGATGACTCAGACAGAGAGATGGGGCACCAAAGCTTTTGGGAAAGCAAGATTATTAAGCAGGCCAGCAGCGACTCAGTGGACTTGAGTCCCAAGGATGAGCTCAGAGAACAACAAAGGGGCCTTCCTTATATACCACTTAGAGCCGATCACAGAAATGGGGTGAGGTGACCCTTCTCTGGCCTCCCCCAGGTAACATTCCCCAACTCCTGTTTTTCTTTGTTTCAACTTAGCACTCATTGTCTCCCTTCCCCCTCCCTGCCTTCCTACCACAGTGGTAGCTGCAAAATACAAAATCTCAGAGATGCTTGGGCTGCTCTAAGGAGGAGGGCATTTTTTGTGTTTGTTTACACATTCAGTCCTGTTTTGAGCAGTCCATGCTCATTTCAGTGTTTCAATTGGGATCATGCTGCCTTTCTCTTTTTCTTTTATTCTATCAGTTCTTTATATGTACATACAAAGAGAATTTTAACTGTAATTTTGCCAGCAATTAATTTCCCAATTTCCTCATTTCCCAGTTTTAGTTGGTTTACATACCTGTCCATTTGCATGTTTGATTCAACATAAAACTGTTTCCAGTTATTTATGTAGTTAAAGTTTGTCTATTTTCTGATTTTTCCTTTCTGTCTCTGGAAGAGACAATCTAGGTTGAACATGATTAGCAACTCAGTTCCAGTTCCACATTGGGTGGTTTGAGATAATGAAGAAAATATTGATGATGATAATAACATAAGAATAATAATTTGTGACTAACACTTATTGAGCTTTCACTTTGTGCCAGACACTGTTCTATGGACAGTCTGTGCCTAACTCAATCTTCTTAACAGTAGTGCGAGACAGGTGTTATTATTAATTATTCTCATTTTACAAGCAGGGTGGTAAGGCAGAAGTACATCAGCACCCATGAAATGGAAAAGTGGAACTCAGGCAAATGGGTCTGACTCCAGGACATTTCTCCTATTCACTCCATTTGTCAAGAATGAACAACCAGATCTCCAGGGACATCCTTTGCATACATTGAGGCACTGGTTTTCCACAATCACCGTTTTGGAGATGTACCATTATCATACCCATTTTATAGGGGAGGAAAGGATTCATTCAAAGGCTCAGAGCTATGGAAAAATTAACCGGGATTTAATGCCAGAATGCTGGTCAGATCCCAGTTAACTTTATTTTTTCTCCACTGTCCCACCTCTGATGGAGACTTTATTTGGATCTTCTGAACCCCATTTCCTTATTTGTTATTTGTAAATTTTCCAAGTATAGAAAAGCGTAGAAACAAAACCAAACACCAACCACAGGCAAATAGTGATATTTTTTGTATATTTTATCTAGATTTTTCTCTAATATTTTACCATGCATCTATGTACAGGTGATTGCATTTCCTGTACTTTTTCATTCATATTGTAATATAAGCTTTATTCTATGCTAATAAAACACTTCTTATACATTTAAAAATTGTGGTAAAAATACATAACATATAATCTACCATCATAACCCTACACAACATTTTTAATAGCTGTAAAAAATGTCACTAAATAAGCAAAGTTTCTCCATTGTTGGAAATTTGGATGTCTCAAATTTTTCACTGTTACCTGTAATTAACATACTTGTGAATAAGTATTTCAACTTACTTCTCCTGGATAGATCCTTAGAAATGGAATTACCTGGTCAAAGAACACAGAAGTCCCTTGAGCGGTTGTGAGACTAGATAACTGGCCTTTTGCTGAAATCTTGCCTCTAGCTGGTTTAAAAAAAAAAAAAAGGTTGGAGAGGCTGAGAGGTGTTTAAAAATTAGTAAGGAATTTTGGAAGAAGGTTTTGTTTTTTGTGAACCCATTCCCCTCAAGGAGGACAGGTGTGGTTCCTCTTACCTCAATCCTATGAAAAGGGGCTTCAACTGAACCATGTGGAAAGTTTGCTATGTGAACTCTGTAGTTTGGGGAACATATTGCACCAATGTGTAATTCATACCTGGACAGCTGAAGAGTTTGGCTAGTTACTCTAAGGGTGCATTTTACAAATAATGAAGTCAAGGCTTAGAAAGTTTAAAGTAACTAGTTCAAGGTCATCCCCAAGTAAGTGGTAAAGCTAGAATTGAAACCCAGCCCTTCTGATTTAGAGCCTACATATGAACTCATTCTATAACACTTCTCATTTATCTATTTATCTTTATTTTCACTGCTCTATATTTATCCATACTTTTCACCCGAAGAGTTCATCTCTTAACTTGGAATTCTTTGGCAGGGCACTCCACCTCTAAGCAACCAATTTCCACCTCTTAGCAACCTCCTTAAAGTCACTTATGAGATCAGCTACGTATATATAAGACTGACCTAACTTCTCAAAATCTTGAGTTTGTTAGGTAAACTCTAAATGACTTTATGCTGCCCTTCAGAGACTTTTTCTTTTAGATTTACAAGGTGTATGGGTCAAATTGTGTCCCCCAAATTCATACACTGAAGTCCTGAACCTCAGTACCATTTTTGGTAATAGGTTTGTTGTAAATGTAATTAGTTAAGGTGAGAACACTGTTATGGGTTCTAATCTAGTATCATTGATATTCATACAAAAAAGGAAAATTTGAACACAAACAAGCATAGAGGAAGACAATGTGGAGAAGCACAGGGAGAAAAAGGCCAAATCCAAGACACAAAGAGGCTGGGAGCAGATCCTTTCCTCCTCCCTCTCAAAAAGAACCAACCCTGCCTACACCTTGACTGTGAACGTCTAACCTCTAGAACCATGAGACAATAAATTTCATGGTTTGAAACCATGAGTCGTTTAGGCCACTCATGTGTGGTACTTAATTACAGTAGCCTCTAAAATCTAATATACAACTATTTGCTGAACTGTTGAAACTTGATTGTGAAATCTTGAAGTTTAAAACTGGAAGTGCAATCATCCTAGAGAAAACAGGAAAATCCAGTTATAACAACTGTTGTAACTCCAGCACAGAGCTAGATTTCTCATATTTTTAGAATCCATTTCACAGTGTGAATTTCCTTCCCACAATTATGCTGCATAGGATTTTAAGTGGTGCTTCATATACCCCCAAGTTCTAAGTCCATAGCTAGATTTTTATTGTCATTGACAAAATGGTATGTTTTTTGGTTGCTGTTGTTTTTGAGACAGGCCTCACTATGTAACCCAGGCTGGTCTCAAATTCACAATCCTCTTGCCTTATCCTCCCCAGTTCTGGGATTGCAGGCATGTACCCCCATGACTTACTACAATATGGTCTTAACCTTCCATACTTATATTCTATTGCCATTTTTCATAAACTCATGACCCAGTCAAACTGGGATACCAGTCCCAGAGCAGGACTGGATATTACTGTATTCTTCATCTCTCTGTTAGAATATCCTTTTCATTTTCCATCATCACATGTAGAAAATCCAGAATTAAAGTCTTTCCTCAAGACCCAATGGAAAAATCATCCTTTCTAAAATGCCCAAGCTAAATGATCTCTGAACTTTCATTTTATGTTCTTGTTTCATTGATTTTTATTTTAAGTATTTGGATACATTCAGAGCCCTTAGGCTCCTCAGGGCAAGGAACTGGAAGTATGTGTACGTGTTATTTGGGTCTCTCCCCACCCCCCATGAAAGTGGAGACTGAGACAAGAGAGTTATATGCAGTTAATTTGTTTGGCAAAGGAATATCAGAGCTCAAGAGTGAGGGAACTGATGAAGGTGAAACCAGGAATAAGGGAAAGCCAACCCAACCCAAAGTGATATAAAGAGCTGGTTACCCCATGGGTAAGTAACTCTTAATGAGGGCAGTGTATGCCATGCCTCATCTTTTACCCAAGAATAGAAAAGAGGAATATTTATCTATGGCTCCACCCATGGTGGTCAAGGCTTGCTTTGCAGGATATCTTACACTTCCAGGTCTATTCATGTGTCGGGATGGTTGAACAAGATTTCATAACCATTTCATGCAGTAGTATTGGTGAGGCCATGGGGGGGCATAAAGTAAGGACACATGGTGCAATTACGATAAGATGCTGTCAGGTTACATTTGCCCAGAGGAAGGGGTGGGCGTCCTTGGGGCTATACTATATCTTGCCCTGGCCCCTTTCTGTGTTCACATTTTTCTACTTCCTAACTACCATGATGTGAATTGCTCTACTTTACCACACTTTCCCTGCCATGATGATTGAACCCTCTGAAACCATAAGCCAAGGAAATTATTCCTCTTTTAAGTTGCTTTTCTCAGTATTTAGTCACAGTGATGCCAAAGCCTGACTGATCACTTGCACTGCCCCAATTGGCTCATGCTCTATTTCACAGCTCTCTAAAGAGAAGGATGCTACTGATATAGAATCACTGCATCTCAGCTATGTTCTTCCTCCCAACCAAAAGAGAAAGACATTTGTGCATGTCAACTTATGCAAATAGAATTTCAGCAAGATCACCAGTCACAGAAAACCAGTTTCAGTCTCCCCAATGGACTGAGGTGGAACATATTCTTTGTTTGTGTCGCCCCAAAAGCAGACCCTGAATCAAGTATCCAATCGCAAGTAGTTTATTTTAGAAATCATCCTGGGAAACACTCATAGAGGAATAAGAAAATGAGAAAAAATAGGAGAGAAGCCAATAAAGTATATACTTTATCAAGACATTTCTACTGTAGACAACCAGATTTTTTTCACATTGGGAATTGAGGGAGAGTATAAAGCATATCCCAGATTTATCTTTAAAAAAAAAACATGAGGAAGAAAGTTGGAGTTATTTATCTACCAATTCACATTGCAACACTGGTTGAGGGCTGCTTCTAAGATCTCTCTAGCACATCTGCATTGCCCTTGTGTGGGCATAATGGCCAGGAAACACCCTTCAGGCACAGAGTCTCCAGCATTGTCAATGAGCATCCTTCAACACAAGAAGCAAATGTGGATTAGAAATGGGAAGGGTATCAACAGCTACAGAAATCTGCTCTAACCATCTAGCTGCAGGGATATGTCATGGAGTTTTCTCATACTGACTCTGGTACACAGAAACATGCATCACTAAAGACAAACAAGTGCTTCTCTTAGTTTCATAATAAATTCAATGAATTTAGCTATAGCAAAGAAACAAAAGAATCTCTTATGAATTTTTAATTAACCGCTTAGAAAAAATGATATCATACCATTGATTTTTATTCACATATACAGGGAACTAGGACCTGAAAGTACACATCAATAACTATACCATAAAGCCAAAATTGTTTTTAGATTTGTGTTGATGCAAAATAACATCATTATTTTTAAAAAATCATTATCGTAACTTCCAAAAGTAGAAATATTAATAAGAGGATTATTTTTAATTCTGTATGTGATTTACTTCTCCTCTTTGGTCCATCAATTTAACATTAATGGCTGCTCTTAGATTTGCCCAAAAAAGTCCATGTTTGCTCTTCTCCTTGGGCCATTCCAAATAAGTCCTCCGTGCCATGAGACTTTTGAGCTTATGGTAGCTGCTGGGAATAGAGTACTGTGGGATGGGTTCCAGCAAGATCAGGATCAAGTTGTTAGACCCTTCATGGAAGAGATTGTGGTGAGCAAAGTAGAGTTCATAATGGCACCACTCACTCTGGACAAAGTTGGGAGACAACACGAAGATGGACTTGTAACTCTTCTCAATGCAGTTTATGATATTTTCCACAATGCTCTTGCCAGGAACAAAGTTTCTCTCATGGAGGCAAATCCGTATGTCCTCTTTTTCTAGGTTTGGTAGTAAATCACTCTTCACCCAGGTAGAATCATGCCCACTGTATGAAATAAAGGCATGATATTGAAGAGTTCCTTGGAGTTTCTCTAAGGGGACATTCCTAGCCCTGTGCCGGGTCTGGGTCCACTGGCACACCATCCTGAGATACCAGGGTAGATCAAAATAGATGCAGAGAAAGGTCACAATAGCAGTCAACGCCAGCATGGTGGCCCCAATGGTAACAATCAGCAGAGCTGTGTTGCAGGATAATGGAGACATGTGGAAGTCCTTTAGTGGGGTTCCCTTGTAGCTTTCTGGGTACTCACACTTGTAAGAACCAGGCCAGCCCTCTACCACTTCACTTGATACTTGGCCTATTCGCCTGACAAATTCTCGTAGCTCACATGTACATTGAAATGGGTTGTCCCCCGCTTTTATTGACCTAATCTTGTGACAGCTCTGAAAGAAGTCAGCTGATGGGTGGGAAATGGAGTTATGGTCTATGATCAGCACCGAAAGGCTGCTGAAGGTGCCGCACTCAGGAAGGTCACCTAAAGCATTGAAAGCAACATTGAGTTCTTGCAAAGACTCTAGCTTCGTGATTTGTTTAGGAATGCTCTGTATTCTGTTATTGTGAAGATCGAGTACCTTGACCTTGGGAGGTAGACATCTGAAAACAGAGTCTGTAAGTATATTTGAAGACATATTCAAATGTAATAAACTTTTAGTCCAGGAGCAGTTGTTTTCATTTTCGTCATACCTTAGAGAATTCTGGCTAATATCCAATTGTTGTAAAGACTTCATCTCGTTGGTCATGTGAATTATATTTACAAGTTCTTTTAGTTGATTCATTTGTAAAATAAGTGTTTCCAACTTAGTTAAGTGTCTACAACTTTCAAAAACCGTATCTGTTAAGAGATTATTGGAAAAATCCAAATGCAGAAACGGGCTCATTTGGGATGGGCAAAGCATATGTACCATGCGTGTACCAGACACTGTGAAGTTTTGGATATTCATGTTTGCAAAGACCATGTAGATATTGCTTTGTGGAAAATTGAACACATCAGTAATCACGTGGTGTATAGACAAGGTCTTCAGTGAAGTACCAGAATAATCAAAGTAGCTGGAGTAAAATTGGCCTTCTAGTTTCACATTTGAAATTGAGAAGTACTCTATGGTTGTATGCCAAACCAATTGGAGGATCCCAATGAAAAAATTCCAAGTTGTTTCAATGTTGTTTAAGGTAAAATTTGATAGCTTTGGATTCTTTTGAAGTTTCAACAGAACATTTATGAAAGAACATTCATCATCTAGCAAGCATTTGACATTCGAGAGTTCCAAACTTGTTGCAGTGCTGGCTGACACATCTAAAATAAAATGGAATTCTTTCCTTGCGGGAAAAACAATATGCAGACTTTCTGTGTTTAAGACTTGAAGACTCTCAGGGTCTTCTTTTTCCCCATAAGTATCTCCTAAAGCCAGCAAAACCTTACTGATATTCAAACGAGCAACTGGCTGCATGTCAGATTTTTGTAACCGTGTAGCACTCAACCCCAGAAATTGTAGTTGAGACATGTTGTCAAACTCTTTGCATATGGGCAGGGCATCAAATGCATTAAATGAGAGGTCTAAGTGCTTGAAGTTCAGTGTAGGGTGGCAAGAAATCATCCCCAACTTGTTGTGGGACAAATCCAAGTACTCCAATTCCGTGTTGAATTTTAAAACACTGATATCAAGATACTGGATTCTATTGTGAGACATTATCAAAATCCTCAGTTTCGATAGCAATAGTATGTCTTGAGTATGAAGCTCAGATATATAGTTTTGTGACATATCTAAGGTTGTTGTTTCCATGGGTAAGTCCTTTGGAATGTGGGTAAGGCCTATTTTTGACCTGTCAACTACAAGTTCATTTTCAGCAGAGATGTAGATCTTGATAAGTATTAACACAAAGATGATGACAAAATGGAAGATGCTAGAATCTGTTTTAGTCATTTTGTAACACTAGACATTGCTGGGGTAGTTCCTATCTTCAGAGCATCTTGACATGAATATAGAACCTAGGGAAAAAAATCCACATTAAGTTAGTCATATTGACCTTAAATTTTTTTATTAGAGACTCATAAAATGAAGGATACATTCTTTAGGGATATACAACCTGAAATTAGAAAAGAAGGAAGGAAGGAGATTCCATGAGCTTTAGTCAAACAACTTTCTTTTGGCAGTACTAGGATTTGAACTCAGAGCCTCATGCTTGCTAGGCAGGTACTCTACCACTTGAGCCACTATGCCAGCACTGTTTTATATTGGTTTTTTTGAAATAGGGTCTCACAAACTATTGCCCAAGTTGTCTTCCAACTGTAATACTCCAGATCGCTTCCTCTCAAGTAGCTAGGATTGCAGGCATGAGCCACCAGTGCCCAGCTAATCAAGTAATTTTCATATAAATGTTTAATAGGTTGAAGGCTGGTTCTCCCCATGTACCTCCTAACTATGACCTAACCCCCAGAAACCAAATGTAACCTTATTTAGAAAAAAGGTCTTTACAGATAAAGTTAAGAATCTTGAGATAGGAGCTCATCCTAGATTCAGGTGGTTCCTGAATCCAATGACAAGTGTCCCTAGGAGACAATGTTTGGTCAGAGGCAGAAGAAGAGATGATAGCGACACAGGAGAGAAGTCCACATGAAGACAGAGGCAGTGACTGAAGTGATATAGCCATAGGCAAGGAATACCAATAGCCACTAGGAGCTGGAGGAGGCTCTGGAGAGACTGCAGCCCTGACAACTGTTTGACTTTGTACTTTTGGCCTCCAGATCTTCGTGAGAATAAATTCCTGTTGCTTTAAGCCACCAAGTTCATAATAATTGGTTACATGAGCAATAGAAATCGAACACAGACGGTTTATGGAAATTCCTGAGGCCCTACCTCTATCAAAAGTTCATTTACAACCTAGATTAAGATTCACCTGGAATCTTTCTACTCTTTGACATGAAAGGTCACGAGTCTCCAGGACTCTCTTGAGAATTCTCTCCTGTGGCTGATTAGGACTGTTCTCGCATTATCTGTTATTACCTGCACATGTTTTGGCTTACTTTAATCTTATTCACAGGAGAATTAGCTCATGATAAAAAGATTTCAGAAGAGCTGTTCATTCCTCCATTTTATTTAAGAAGTGTTTGTTGACCATTGACTGGCCATGTTTTAGAAACTGGACATGGACCAGTGAACAAGACAAAGTCCTATTTCTCAAAACAAAGTCTTGTTAATAAATGTCTAAACTTAATTTCATGTAGTGATATGTGCTACACAGGCAAATGAAGACAGGGTAATTGTAGGTATGAGGTGGTGCTTGGTGCTGGCTACTTTTGGTTGATTCATTGGTGAAGGCTTTCTTGAGAAGATGACACGAAGGTAGAAACCAAAATGAAGTGAACAAGTCACCCGGGGGAAGATCTTGGGGAAGGATGCTTCTAGAAAAGGAAAGTGCAAGCACAAGGTTCTGAGATGGAGCCGAGATTGGCTGTCCTGAGGAGCGGTGAGGAGGTGTTAGTATGGGCGAGTGGAGATGTTAGGGCCCAGATCTCAGGAGGCCTGTAGAGCATCGTAAGGACTTGGGGCTCTATCCCAGGAGTGGTGAGAAGCTGGGACACTGGAGGGTTTTGAGGATGGCAGTTGTTTCTGCCTCTCTCTTATTTAGGAAACTTTTTCTCATTCATTCGCCAAATACTTATTTCCCCTCTGAAACACTAGACGTTGTTCTAGGTTATGCCTACTGATCCACACCAGCTCAGATACTGTGCCATCATCATTCCAGAACCTCTGGGACCAGAGGGAATTGTGTTGGGATGATCCCTAGAGAGTGACACACACACACACACACACACACACACACACACACACACACACACACACACAAGCCCTGCTGGGCTGCACGCCTACACAGCTCTCTCAAGGAACGTAGTCAAAATTCCCTAAAACAAGCAAGCCGTTGGTATTAAGAGAGTGCCACATTCGTCCTCACATGTCCCCTCCCCATCTCAAATGGCACAGATCTAATAATTCAATTCCCAGAATCAACTCTGATACAAAAGTTCCCCAAGTTATACCCGCAAACCCATCTGACATTCAGAGCTTTCCCTGGACTTGCCTTTGTAGAGGTGCCCAGTGATGCCTGGGTTATCCTGACATCTTCCAACACTCTAGAAGGTCTAGTCCCCACCAACTGCATTCATGAATACTCTGGGCAAGAAAGACAATACAGAGGCCCTGAGTTCAATCTCCAATACTACCATGAACAAAAGAAGGAAGGAAGAGAGGGAGGGAAGGAAGGAAGGAAGGAAGTAAAGAAGTAAGAAAGGAAGGAAGGGGGGAAGAAAGGAAGGAAGGGAAGAAGGAAGGAAGGAAGAGGGGAAGAGGGGAAGGAAGGAAGGAAGAAAAATAAGACATAAAGACACAAATATAAGACTCATAGATTCATGTTAAAAGTAAAAGTAGTCTTTTTATGGCATTGGTTGTATTTGGTGAAAAGACCCAGAAATTTCCCAACTATTCTTCTCCAGCTTCACAAAAGAACTATTCACACAAGATACAATACTTAAATAGGGATTATGAACTGAATGTTTGCGCCTCCTAAAACTTGTATGTTGAAATTCTAACCCTCAATATGATGATATTAGGAGGTGAGGCTTTGGGGAAGGTGGAGGTCTTGTGAATAGGATTAGTGCCCTTATAAAAGGGATCTTATGGGCTGGCAGAGAAGCTCAAGTGGTAAGAGTGGCCTGCCTAGCAAACGTGAGGCCCTGAGTTCAAACCCCAGTGCCACAAAAAAATTAAAAACAATAAATAAATAAATAAAAGCGACCTCATCGAGCTCTCTGGCTCTTGGGTTCTGGCTCAGGATCCAACCATATGGCCCTCTGGTCTTAGACTTCCAGCCTCCAGAACTGTGAAAATAAATTTCTGTTTATAAACTAGCCAGTCTATGGTTACTTGTTATGGAAGTTCAAACTGATTAAGACAGAGGGAATGAAAATAATACCCAGTTACTGCCTAGGCCAGTACCTAACATCTTAAAGCAGAACTGAATGTTATAAGCTGGATCAAAGTGAAAGTGGTTGAGCTTAAGACTCAAGGCTCAGTACTTATTCCCATGCTGAGTCTAAATCAGAGGCTCTTTTCACCTTCTGGAAATCCAGACTTCAAGGAAGCAGTAATCAGCATTGTCAGGAGGGACATGTGGACAGTGTCACCAGAGATCAGAGGCAAACAGGACCCCTGCATGGACATGAGTGCTTAGCCCACACAGAGCCGACCACAAACAAGACAATTGGCCTGGTTCCCTGAACACAGCAACTACCACGAAAGATTTAAATCTGCCCGTCCCTGTGCATTTGATGAAATGCAGCTTCAGTCTTGTAGCTACCTAAATGAATTGATTCAAATGCCCAACCACCATTACACCCTTTCATTTAAAATCATTAAATTGCAGTGCTCAGTTTATGAAAATATTTTTTAGTTCTATAATTAAGAAAATAAAAGGCTCACATCCATGAAGACCTGATTTTTAGAAAACTGCAGAATCTGTAAATTTTATATACCAAACTTGACAAAAATCAATGAAAACCAATGTCTCAATTCCCCAGAGCAAATGAAATATTTTTGATCAAAGTCTTAAAGATAGTCACTGACCCCCCTCCATCTATATTAGAACTTCAAAATGGTTTTACTACCAAATAAAATGATTGTTTGCCCAGTTCAATGTATAAGGACACTTACTTAAAAGCATAAAAACTTTTAGATGTGTTTGTGTCAATTTTTGAGACTGATAGCTTCAGTTTCACAATATATGACACAAAGAAGTGATACATTTGAATTGTCTTTGTTTAGAGACTTTGGGGGCCTGAGTCAGGGTTTGAGTGGTCCTAATGGATAATGTCCATACAATCAACCTGGCCCATCGAGTTCAGTTTTGCAAACATTTATTAAGAGTCTTCTGCCTGGGTCAACATATTAATCACAGGTTTTGTGAACTTTTGTTTTTTTGTTATAAAGAGGAATTTAAAATCTTTTGACCAATTTGATCTGTTCTGGGAAACATGTTCAAAACCTACGATTCCACTTGACTTCTCCCTTCCCAGAAGAGTTTCAGTGATTTGAGAAAGCAGACAAGATTACCGGGAAAGAACAGTCTAGAGTTAAAGCTAAACTAAACCTTCCCATAAAAACAGAAGTTGTACCACGGGTCTGTCTGGAGGAGAACTGACTTACATATTATATTAGTCTGTTTTTCATCAGTATAATGAAATTCCTGATACAGGCTATTTGATAAAGAAAAGATGTTTATTTTGACTGACTGTTTGGTTCAAGGTCAAAGGGCTGCATCTGTTGATTGTCTTCTTAGTGACAGTCACAAAACCACTTGTGCAGTCATGGGGCTTTACCCTAACCACCTTATCTAATCCTAATCACCTCTCAAAGAGCCCACCTCCAAACACCATACACAGACTGAGTTTCCACCCTCTTAATACCTCACAATGGAGGTCAGATTTCAACACATGAACTCTTGGAAGACACACCCAAACCACAGCGTATCCTAGGTTCCTGAACATTTTCATCGCAAAGAATATGGATGGAGAAGGAACGAGGTGGAGAGTAACACCATCTAAAATAAGAGCTAGCTGCTCTGTAAGAAAATCAGAAAACATTCGTGACTCAAATAGTCATCGCTCTACTCCAGAATATCTCCTGAAAGCAAATTATATGTGATGGAGGGGAAAAAAAAACTTTGTCTGATTTAGGACTAGGAGCTGATAGATTATGCTAGTTCAAACCACTCAGTAAGAATACGTCGGAAATACAGGCCACTTAGACAAACTTCCAGGACTTCATCACACAGACTTCTGTGATTTCCATACCCAGCAACTAGCTACACTATTCTTATCACTTACAGAATAAAATAAAATGTCGCTTACCAAGGCAGCGCCTGTCTGTTCCGTGTGGCAGTCCATATGAAATTCAAGCATTTCCTTGAACTACTTTTATCTCATTGGTAACCACT